ATCTAGTAGATGTTGATTTTTTTATCCTCGAAACTTCTATTTGCCTTCGCAAAGTAACTATTTGGTTTAAGAGGTGATGTATTTGAGCCTCCATCTGAGATTACTCCATCATATATTTCATGCTATAAATCTCTTGCTGAACTCCACTATTATAATGCCTTCACACTTCCCAGTTGACTTTTTAAGAGTAGCTCATGATAACCTCAAAACCATACCTACTGTGACCACAATAACTCATTTTAGACTATGTGATGACTATCAACACACTTCCAAAGAACAGTCTAAGACTTGCTCTGATACCAATGAAATAGGACCAATCTATCTCAAGTATCTAAGACCCTTCTAATCCACATCAATATAATACTTCATCACAAGATAGGACAAACTGGAATAAAACAAAACTAAACAGAACTAAACTGAATGAGATATGGAAGATAAAATTGAGCAACTTAGAATTAGAATAGAACAAAACAAAACAAGAAAATACAGAATCCAATTATATTAAGAAAAATGATTCAAAGCCATATTTGACCAGATATTTCAAAAAGCCCTAGCTAGTCCTATTTATATCTTGTTTTACCACCTTGGACTTTCTAGAATGTTCCTAGATGATGGATCCTATTTAAATAACCACCTTAAATTCTTTTTAGAAGGTTTTATGATGGGTCCTATGTAAATAACCACCTTAAGTCTTTTTTAAAAGGTTCTATAGTAGGCTCCACCTAAATAACTGCCTTAAATTCTTTTTAGAATATTCTATGGTAGATTCTACTTAATCCACTAACCTAAACCTAATTCTAAAAACTTCTATAAAGTTTTAAACATAGTTATAACTATTTATGTTATATGTCAATAATACAAATATCTTATCTATATCTTGTTATTTACGTGCCCAATGCATTTTCAAACAAGTCAATAAGTAATATGACATCACACTTTACAAGAAGTTTTTTGTAAGTTTTGTTTAAGTTATTAAGTATACGACTTGTCGTGTCTATGGCATTCCATTCTAAAACAGATAGACAAATAGAATGTACAAATCAAACCTTGGAAGATACGTTATAGGCATTCATAGTGGTTCACCATAATGACTTAGATGAATATTTGATGCCTTTGAAGTTTACTTATAATGATAATATTCAACAAAATACTACTTATTTATTATTCTAGTTTATCACTAGTTAGCATTTGATTATACCAGTAATTTCCTATTATTCTATTCATATCAAAAATTTAACAACAAAGGAGTTTATACAACAACTTACAATAATCTTATAAGAAGCACTACACCACCTCCTCACTACATAAAATCAATAGAAAGAATATGTAGATATCTATCGATAACATAAGATCTTTTGAAAAGGTGATTAGGTGTTACTATCCAATGCCAACTTTCTACTTGCTATATCAATCCAAATCTATAAGTTGGTACCTTAGTAGCTTGGACCTTTCTACATTTGTGTAGTGATTTTTGATATTGCATACTACCTCAAGCTTTTGCCACATATTCAAGTCCATCCAATCTTCTATGTTTTGCAGCTCAAGGAATTTCATACTAAACCAAGGCGCTTCTCAAATTTACATCAACCACCACTATCATTGGTTGTTATTGATAATCAACAAGACTATGAAGTAGATAATATTTTGGAGCACGACTATCTTTGCCGTGGCAATGGATATTTGCAACTTTAATACAAAGTCCTTTGAAAAGATTATCCCATTTATAATGCAATGTTAGAACCTCTTTAAAATCTCATCCATTGTTAAGAGACAATTTAGAAATACCATCTAGAATAAAATGATGATTTTCCATATTAGTAGAGGGAGATTAATTATAATGGGGCATTTGTATTATTGATGCATAAAAATAGATAGTTAGAGCTATTATTGAAAAAAATTAGAAGTTTTTAGAATTAGGACTAAGTTGATGGTTCATGTAGAATCTACCATGGAACATTCTACAAGGACTTAAAGAGATCATCTTAGTAGGATCCACCATTAAGAACATTTCCAAAAGTTCGAAGATAATTGAATAATGTATAAATAAAATTCGCTAAGGCCATTTAAAAATTTGATCAAATATAGTTTTGGTCCCTTTCACTCACTAAAGTTTGGTTTATATTTTTTATTGTATTCGATTTTATTTTATTTTATCTTTTGCTTTGTTTTTCCTTTCATATTCTATTTTGTTTAATTTTTTTTTAATTTTTTATTAATTTGCTCTATCCTACTTTGTGATAGAGTTTGTGTTTCTAAAAATTGAAAGGGCTTAAATCTTAAAGAGGATTTAGTCTTGTTTCATACATGATCTCTATTATAGCTATAGAAATATATTTTTTAATACATCATCTTCTTTAGTAACTATAGTCTTCATTTGGTGATTGCATTGCTTCTATGGATAGTGTTGAGCAATGTACTTGGATTCTCCACAATATAAGCACAAATCTTCTAGACAACAATGAATCTTTTCTTATTCAATAAGAAGTTTAAAATGTATTGTATCAATTTGCATAGGCTCTAGCCTAAACAAGCTTCCAAAAACTTAGAAGGTTGTTATGGCTTGACTTATATTTCTTCAATCAAAACTTTCTTCATGGCATCTTCTAAAGAGTTGATTGTCACATGCAATGGCTTGAATAATAAATTCTTCTAATGAATCTATTTTTGGTATTTTCAACAATAAATATTTGGCATTATCTTTTAACTCATATACATACGAATTGATAAGAGCTTTGTCATTCCAATCTATATCACAAGCAAGAATTTGGAATTCATGAGAATATGTGAAGGCTAAATGTGATCCTTATAGTAGAAATATAATCTTAATCTCTTCTATTTTTTTTTCATTACCTTCTTCAAATGTAGTTGTAAATACTTTCAAGAATGAATTCATGTTATAGAGTAGTTGTAAATCTTTTTTCATCAAAGGTGCAAACGAAGAAAAACCACTTCTTTATAGAAGTATATCTATGAATCTAACTTGAATAAATCCATCAAGGTATTGAAAAAGATACAATCTCAAATAAAGCTTAACTTATTATAAGAATCCTCAAAATTTTGATCTTATTCCATCAAACTTCTCAGGCATACTAAACCTTGTCCTCCTTTGTGCTTGTAGAAGCAAGACTTCTTAGATTTGGTTGTGAGGTTGATCTAATTGATTCCTTCAAATATACAACTTCTTGGCATAGACTTTGGACTTTTTTTTATATAAATAAGAATAATACTTCTATAATTTATATTAAAAATATGTGAGATTTTTAGTCTTAGAATATTAACAAGCTTGTGAAGATCTACAATAATTACAAATCTATTCTTACTTTTGTTGAAAGTAGTATCCATAAATTTTTCTTCTATAAAAAATTCAACAACTTCAAAAATTTAAATTAAATGAAGGTAATCGACAATCTCTAATATCAAATAAAATTTCTACAAAGAAGGATAATCCACTCTCTTTAAGGAAAAAATTAGTGTTAGAAAACTAAATTATTTGTTTAAAGGTGGATAGTCTACAACCTTTAAAATACAATAATAGAAGTAGAATAATCTATAAACTTCTAAAACAAGAGAAGAACAAGAAATTAGTACTCTTATCAAAATTGTTAAGGATACAAGTCTCAAAGCAAGAAATCATCAATACTTTCTCTCGTCACTTAAAAAGTCTAAAAAATCACTCAAAGATAGTAATATATTGAACAAGAATCGCTATTGCTAAATGCAAAAAGACTAAAAAGTCTTAAAACAAGAGTAAAGATTAGAAAGGTAGTGATAAGAATAAAGAAGGCTTTATTCTTATCTCTATATATATATTCTCTAACTAAGAGCTATGTGGCAATATACTATAGAACCTCCAATATGTGTTAACTTTGATAGACACATGTTTTAACTTGCAATGCAAGTTATCTATATATAAGCCACATAGTTAACTTATTTCACAAGCTAGTAACATGTCTGATACATGGCTAACTTATTAATGAAGTTTTTAACTTATCAATTAACTATAAAGACATGTAATATCAAAGCAACATCTTTTTAGCTTCTAAGAAGCTTATCTATAAGATATTATGAAATTAATCTATTTTTACTTACTTCTACCTAATTATATAGGTAATTATTAGAGTAAATATGTATGTCCATAATAGTTACTTGAAGATATTTATTGTATTTAAATAAAGAATAAATATAAAAAATGATCTTAAAAATAATTAAGTAGGATATTAATAAATTTCCATCTACCAAGGTTATTAATTAGACAAGGTACCATTACATAAGATGTTATTGAAAGTAATTTATTGAAATATATTATATAAAATTTAGAATTTAATATTATATAAAATAATAAAGTATGTTCTATAAACTTCTACCATTACATTATGGAAGTTATAGTATGACAAAAATAATATAATCACAAATAATATTTTATAAATGAATTATGTCATGAAATAACTCTTTCAAAAATACAAATCTTAAGACACTTCTTATAACATGATCAAAAAAAAATAATAATAATAATAATAATTTTATTGGATAGAAAATCTTCTATCAGTCCATATTTAAGTTCAAGAAATCACATGTCAAAAAATAAAATAAAAAATAAAAAAAAATAAAAAAATGTAGGGAATCACAGATTGCAAAAAATTAAAATCTTTGTGAAGGAGATTATTTTTTTTATTTTAAAAGAACGGATGCGAACATCCCATTAAGATGATTTATATTAACTTTCTAAATCCTCGTCAACGGATTTCAAAAATGGAATGCACTTATAACAGTGAAAGTTATACTGTTTAGTTCCTACAACTAAGATAATTTCGACGGCAGCAATGTCAGGCGACTCAGCTGATACCCTTCCACCCGTGCACCATCCAATTTTTACGACGGGTATAGACAGCATCGATACCCAGTGATATTGAAACCCTGAACCATCCGGGCTGGGGGGGTCTCAGAATCAACGGAAATGGTCGGTGAAGGATCGGAAGACGTGTGGGACGCGATACTGGCTCTTTCCAAGTGTCGTGCAGCTTCCACTCCACACTCACACCGCTACAGCGAAGATTGCAGCTTCCTCAATTTGTAGATTGAACCCCGTCGTCAACTACCAACCCCAACGTAGTCCAGTTTGTAGTGATCTCTCAGGTTCTTAAGAATCAATTGCGGCTCAATTTTGTATTAGGAAAGATTTCTCTCAAGTTTTTTTCAAGGGGATTAGGATTTGCGTTTTGGATGCGATAAGGTCCACAATGTCGAGCGGTTTGATGCTTCCAATTGTGGTTATGGTGGGATTGGCACTCCTGCCAAGCTCCGTATCTGCGAATGCTGGACCTGGCACTACGGCACCGCCGTCTGGTGCTGCAGGGACCGTGAATGGTCCCGCCTGGGCCGCTCCAGCTGCGATTATTGCTACCCTGCGCTCGCTCTCGCTCGCCTTGCAGTCCCTCTTCAACCGCCTCGCTTCTGCCCGCGTCGCCCGTGGTGATCTTGCTGGTAACGACTGGGGCGTTTTGTGGTCTGTTAACGTGATTAAGGTCTGCTGGTTGTGGTAGTGAGATTTAGGGTTTTGGAGTTGAGAGAAGGATCGATGTTTTGGGAATCTCTTTTTCATCTCCTAATTGTGGATGTTTTTGGCGATCTTTTTAATTTGTGCCAATTTTTGCTGCCTCTGATTTGCATTTTAATGCAGTTTTATTATTGTTGTAAGCCTTATTTTTAGGGTTAAACAATGTGGTGAAGAGACTACTGCGTTTTGGAGTTAGAAAGGCGACTATGTTAACGATTAAACTTGTAGGATTAAGAAAACTATTATTTGATGTGATGGCATGCGATTCAACCACGTTATTTTAATTGAGTTTCGAGTGTCGAGTCTGTGACGTGTGCTGTGTTTACTAATAAATTTGTCTATGATGTATGCTAGGTGCGGAGAGGGCCAGAAATATTGCGAATACTATGGGAAATGGATTGCAGTGGTGGGCTGGTTTAGGCACAATGAGTTGGGACTACATTACAAACTACGTCTTCACGCAATCTGTTGCCAGGGGAATGGGACTTTCTCAGGCCATGGGTCATCTTTCTGATCTTTCGTCCATCGTCGCGGAGGTCACACAACTTGGATCTGATGGCGAGCGCCTGCAGTGGTTAGCGAGAAATTATTCGAGAGCTTTTGCCGTGGCCAAGTCAGCACTAGGCAACTTGCTCTCTGTCTTTGACCACGATGTGAGTCCACGTCCTCATTTTTTTCCATTCCTGCTTCCGACCTGCCTTCGTGGACGCTGTTAAATTATTCTTGTAATAATTTTCTGATTTTGTTAGTGGCCTTCTCTTTGCATGATCTAGTGCTTCTTCAGTTTATATTTTTTACTTTTGTCTGTTGTTTATTTTTCCCTACTTGTGGCACATGAGCACCAGCATGCTCAATTTGTTCTTTCGAGGGTTGTGTCTGATCTAACGCTTGCACTGGTAATTTTGAAACAGGGTGCCATTCGGAACTGTGTTTTAGCTATTCAACGAGAGTTTTTGGAGGGAGATTTGTTGCGTGATGTTCTACGATTAGGTCCAACCGATTTTGAAAGTATTGTCAGAATGTCTAAAGATGTTTTACAAAGGATATTTGCTTCTGCTCAGAACGGTCAAGGACAAAGAGATGCAGAGTTATAGGTGTATTTAGATCATTTGTAAATAGATTGAGATGAATGTAAATGCAGAGGCCATTTGAATCAGGGAGACTGTTCTGTTACAACAGTACACTTTCATTGTCGAACATCCATGGGCTTTGGGACAAAAAAACACTCTAATTTGCACGTAAACTACATAGTTGAAGGAGGTTTCTTTATTCTTTAGCTGAAATGCTTTTTTTTTTGAGTATTTGTTGAGTTTGTCAATGGAGTTTCGTTCAATGATGAAGATTTAGGAACCCTTCTACATTTTCATTTCGAAAAGAATGTTCAATAGACCAATTGGGTCGCTACCAAGAGAAGAATTGTGCAAATTACGTGAATCGAATCTGCGTCTGTTGGAAACAATCGCTGAATCAAAGTTTGACTGAGAAGTATGTGAATTCTTACTTCATCTAGTTCCTTCACGTAACATTGACCTGTGCGATAGGCACCATGTCCACGGTTGGCATTCACCATACACAACTAATGGCTAACAGATTTCAGAACCATGTATTTGGCAAGGAGAATTTGGACAATGCATGTCCAAGTGATATGCCTAATATTTTCTTTACTCGAACATAGAATCCTCCACCTTTGAACGTGCAACCGCGAATTGCAGTGTATCCAAATACATTAGCGACTTCAATACGGGGTCCGAATGGCTCACAGAGCATGCCATTAATAACTTTTTAATTGCACTGGAACCTCCGGTCATATTTCACATTGAAGTGTTGAGAGTGATGCAGCCATCAACTCGTTCAAATACAACAAAATAAAAGACCAGGAAACACGTATTCTCGTTTGCGTTTAAGGCTTGATCAGCTGTATAGCCTTGATGAACATCCTCAGACAACATGAGTGATGCCTACGATGGATAAATATGAACAGACTATACCGTGAAATGGGTAGGAAATGTAATAAGTCACGAGTAGAAATTGTAGAACTTACGTTCACCTGAAACAAATGGAGACTAGCGGTACGTCAAGATCGTTCCCATCATCGTCTTCACACGCAACTACTATGTCGAAGTGGCGACGATTAGGTGGTATATCTAGTTTGGCAATATCCATGGCCAGGTCCACCACTTTCTTGCCCATACGTTCCCGATGTTTCGGAAAGATATTGTTATATAGCAGAGACTGGCCACAAGAGATACTGTAGACTGTCAAGCCCCTTTCCTCAAACCATTCCAACAATTCTTTGAGGGTCAGATCCCCAGCAATAACCCATCGGTCCCAGATCGACCACTTGAGATTTTGATGAGAGAATGTCTTCGGAGGTACAGGCTCAGCCATTGAAAACAAGGGGAGAGCTAGGTTGGCAAATGTGTTCCTGTACCGTTCGACATTATGCCCTAGTATAACCTTGTACAATTCCAAGCAAACAAGTCCTGTAGCCATAGCGGTTGTTGTGGCTATAGCAGGGATGATGCGCCCAGCTATAAACTTAGCCTTCAGTTTGTCGACTTCAGGTACGCTGTAGTTCCGTGCTCGCATATTGGCAAGTCCTGCAATTAAATCCATGTGGAAGTTTGTATCATCATCCTTCTCAAACGTCACGGGAATCATTTTAAAACCAGGAGAAAGTTTCTTAACACCCTCGTCAAGAGTTTTGATCAACATCTCTATCTGGTAATCATCGTCCATGCTGGAGGCGTTCAGGCTCGTGGCCTTCTCATCAGTCACAATTTTAACGCCTTGCTTTGGTGAAAATTCTGAAACCTTAACCTTGTCTACAGCTTCAGCCAGTTTCTTTGCATCCAAAGCCCACGCTGGCACTGAGATACCATAAGTAGATGCTCGCAAAATAGCAGCTGCAGCGACAAAAGAGAGGCAGGAAGGGTCGGATGACGAGAATTGCAAGTGTTTAGGGAACCGCTTTGGTGCTGACCAGAACGGCAAACCATTGCTAGTAGTCGCATCTTCGGGAAATGTAAATGTAAGCTGCTTCACCCGGTTCGAAAAATAGTCTTCAAATTTGGTCCTAGCCCATGCAATGCACTCGTCGAATGTGGTGCAGCGCTCCGTGACCAAACATTCCACAACTCGCTCCAAAAGCTCCCGGGCCTGAGCATCACCTGCATTCTTCATCGCAGTCTTGTATTCCTCAGGCTTGGATAGAAATGCATTAGCCTCAGCCGGAGTCTTTTCAAGCAAACCTTCGAACTCCGAACGAGCCCAAGTCAGGCAATGGTCAATGTTGTGAGGAAATGAGTGTACAGTACACATGGGTGCCTGCTTTTCAGGGGGGTCACGTGATGCACCGTAGTTCTCTGTCAAGTTGGGAATCACCACCTGCGTGTTGCATTTGGTGCCCAGAGTTCCTGACTCTAGTAACGGCTTTTGGAAGTAAACGCACCGAGAATCAATGTAAAGCCTCGCATTCACATTGTCCAAAGCATTGACTGTCAAGTCCAGGCCTTCCCAGAAAGTGTCGTCAAAGACATTTTCTGTGTTTGGACTGACACGGTTCTGCAACGCCACTGCTCTAAAAGAAGGGTTAATAGCAATAGCCGCTGATGATGCCACTGTCGACTTCGCCTGCCCAATGTTCCAATCACGGAATAGGAATTGTCTACTGAGGTTGCTCTTTTCAATCACATCGTCGTCAGTGACCGTGAGCTTCCCTTTCGGACCACACGAGACTCCCATGAGTGCAAGATTCTTGAGAAACTCACAGCCCAGGGCGCCAGCACCGACCAGAAATAATTTCGATTCTTCTAGCTTTTGTTGCAACTTAGAGCCAAAGACAGCGATCTGTGCATCATATCGTGTGTTCAAAGGCTTCACATCCTCTGGTGTCAATGGCTCTGCTGGCAGCGACTCTACTGAATCGAAGTAGAAAAACTGGTACAGAGGGTGAAACTTTCCAGAACAGGCTTTCACAACTTCCTGGCCAATAATTCCTCCAAACATTGCAGCCATAGGACTCAGAACAGCTCGAGATCCACTTCCCAGAAGCTTCACGATGCTGTCGTCAATAGTATCAAGTTTTTGGTCAATAGGCTTCGCTTCATTAATCCGATGTACAATCTCAACCAACTTGTTTGCGTCTGATTCTGACGCAGGCGCAGGAAATCGGCCTAACTCAGAGCGAAAAGCATCTAATGCTTGGAACGCTACATGCAGCAACGGGGGTCGGTCGAACTTCGCAAAATCACTGAGTAGAAATTCCCCTGGGTTGTCTAACGCCTCCTTCAAGGGTTGGAACTTGAGCACCTTGGGAAGCTTTATTTGCGTTACAATTCCTCCTTTCTCATAAGCCCCGTATCCAGTCGTGTCTTCTTCCAATAAGAATGAATAAGGTCTTGTACCCTTGACACGCCTGGGCTTCCCATCGTTAAGTTCCGGCATACCGTGCACTTCAGAGAATTTAACAAGGTCGCCATCCTGCAATTCCAGCCGCTCGTCATCCACACATGTAACCAGAGCGGGGTTGTCATTACTAATGGATGCGACGATACCCGTGTGTGGCTCCTCGCCGTCGACATCGACAACATTGAACGATGGTCCAAAGTCACAGAAAACGGAACCAAACACGCCTCTTATATCTGCCTTGATAAAAGCGATGACCGGCTCGTGTCTGTGACAGAAATCGTCTATCTCGATAGCCTTGTCCAATCCTATGTCGGTGAAAACTACGACTGAGTGGGCTGATAATAGTTGCTCCGTAATTTCGCCCGAGCTGGTGTTAACATCAACTGCGGCATTCAACTCCTTGAGCTTGTCTGCACATGCCAGAGCACGGTTCTTCCCTATATCCTCCTCTGTAAAATAGAATTGAGCGGAAAGATCCCACAATTCCACATTCCCAGCATCATGCAGCGTGACGGACTTCACTCCCGCTAGAATAATATTTTTGGCAATCTCGACACCGAGACCCTGCAGACCAGAGACGAGAACATGAGCACCAAACAGACGACGCATGGTCTCCCTGCCATACACAGCAAGCTGCCGACTGTGGAGATCCTCGTCAATCTCGACCTCCATATTGCTGTCCGCTGCCATGACGAGCTCTCTGTTCCGTCCCACCACTACACTGCCGCTGGGAGATTCAGCGCGATTCCTCTTCAAGCTGTTGCTCCCCAACTCTGCCTCCTCCCCAACCTCTCTCTTTTTAGGCAGCATGTAGCAAGACGGAACCTACACCTTCCCTTGTCTCTGCGTGTCTCTCACGCATTCCGCGCTCGCAATTCCACTTCACCAAAGTTTCAAGCCGTAACCACCATCTCCCAATCCTAACTCAATTGCCTGCACCAAACACACGGCGCTAGCGTCACACAACAGACATCACACTGGACGCCACGAAGAGAAGAGACGTTTCCTAGTCTGGCGAAGAAGCATATCGTTTAGGATTTTAGCAAACCCCATTCTTCATTCAACCACATTCACACCATCATTCTCCAAATCCCTAAAACACACCCTCATTGTCTTCAAATTTGCACTATTCTCAAGGGCCTCCCTCGTAGTTCCACTCTCGCCACACACATATAAATCACACCCACGCTAAACCAAATTCGCCGATCTGCTAATTCCTTAAAACCCCAAACTACGAAATCCCTCAAACCCGTCTCCAAAAACTCCCGAAGAATGCCATCAAAAACCCTTCATAATACTTGCGCGAAAAACCCAATCGCCTAATGCAAAACATGGGGTAAACGGAAGACTAAACAAACCTGACGATGCGAACGACAAAGATCGGGGCGTGGACCAGCCGCACAGCTTCCTCCGCTAATGAAGAGAAGCGTCACTTGACTATTCAGACAAGAGCTTCTCCGCCTGCAGTCCCTTTAAGAATGTAAACGCAGAGTGCACTCAGTCCTAGGGATTACTACAGTAAACTGGGAGAAGCACATTTAACCTAATTTTACCCCTTTTAGCCAAAAGTAGTCCTACAACATAGTATTTCTTTTCTCATTTTTTGCCTGGTGAGAGAGTGTGCAAAAATTCCCTTGGAATTGTGAGATTGGTATAGGGTAATATCTGAGGTTGTATTATATCAATACGTGTGGAGTCAATTAGTTGTACAAATTCTCAATGTACCAATGATTAGTTCATCTAATGTGCTCTCAACGTCAAAACAAGGAGCATGAATCTGTTTGTTTGTTTGTTTGTTTATTTTTATTTTGTTGTATGTCTATGAGGAAATTAGGGTTTTGTGGAGAAAACTAGGCTTTGAGGTATGAGAAGGCGCTGGTCTGTATGAATAAAAGTAGGTGGAGGCTCAATGGAATGCTCTAGAGGCCAAGTGGGTTAGTATGGTTTTATGTATCTCTGATGTGACTCAGAATGCATATATTTGGACAAAAATAAATAAAAAATAGAATTTGCTGGGCCATGGCAAGGCTGACAACTAAAATAGATTAAAAAAGAAAAAAATTTAAATGAGACAATTCAAATAGTTGGAATAGGAATTATTCATGTGGCCTGGATAGCAAATGGAAACTTCTTACATTTGGTTTTAATTCATTTGAGCTATGTTTATGTATAATGGTCTTTGCATCTCTGTGAGCTTTGTTTAGGTGCTACATTATCATGAATTTGATTTCTATTAGTTTTAGTTTCTTTTTCTTTTTCTTTTCTAACATCAATAATATTTAAAATTTTAAATGCACATTAAAAAAGATTTTGTCTCAAGGATTGTTATTATGTTTGATATTACAGTCTTTCTTTCTTACATGATGTTGGATTGCATAGATAAAAGGATTTTGTCTCAAGGATTGTTATTATGCTTGATATTACACGATCTTTCTTTCTTACATGATATTGGACTGCATAGGTAAAAAAAAATAGCTTCATATTACCTACATGACATTCTTGTTTATCGACCAAAGTGTATATTCTAAAGTATCAGAAATATACCCAAAAGAGGGTCTACAACACAAACTATTTCTACTGCTTTGTTCAACACTTTTGTTAAAACAAGAATAACTATCTTTTAAAAAATAAACATAAAATATTAACCAATTATTATAATTAATAACAGATTCTTAGAAATGGACAAATTTTTTATATCCCATCCAACTTTATCAAGTACTAATTTTCAGATCTTTAAATATTAGATGCTAGTATAATAATACAAAATCACTTTATTTGTAAAATAATATAACATATTATATTATATTATATACAAGTTCAATAACTCTACAGATTCTACATTGCAAGATCATTGTAGCTAACAATTAAAATAGCATAAATTTCTATTTAATTAGTAGTGAAGATTATATGAATTAAAAAAATACAACAGATGACCAATTGTATGTATAAACATATATCATGCTTTACATATATAAAAAAGTACAAGAAAACTAATTGTAATATTATTGAGAAGAAAAAAATTCTACCATTTTACAAACTTGTAAGTGACAAATCTTTCTTTTGTGAAAAAAACCAAGCTATGATAATAATCTCTTGTTAAATTAATCATACATTCATAAGCTCTAGATATTAACTTGATATACTTTTATATCAATCCAAAATAAATCAATGTTGTCATGATTTAAATTTAAATTGTATATTTATTTTATAAATTTTACAACAAGCTCTTTTACAAAACTAATATCATCATTTAAAAAAAAATTATATTAATAAATTATATGTACAAGTTAAGGCATAAATAAATTTACATGTTTTAATTATGTCTTCTTTCTTTACTTTTTTCTTTTTTTCAATAAAACATAAGTGTATTACCTTTTGGTTTTTGACTAGATTCATGTCTATGACATATGTTTCAAACTGAACTTTTCTATTGTGGTCTTCCCTATTCTACTTATTCTAAGAAGATACAAAATTTTTATTTTATTTGATTTTTTTTTAATTTGATATGAATAATATCTTTTGTCAAATATTATTTTTTCAAGAAAATCAACCTAAAATTCAAAAATTCATCAAAAAATCAACAAAAAAAAATTAGAATGATGTATATAATACATTTTAACCTAATCTTATTAACTTGAATTCATAATATGGCATCTAAATATTATTATAGGATAAAACAAATTATTCAAATGTAAAATACGATCAATACATTTAATTCAATATATACTTTCTATGATTTTTAGTACAAAAGTTACCAATATCAATCTATTATGTATGTATTGAAATTCTATATTTTCATGATAATTAGATAGATTTAAGTAATTAAATTCAATTTTATAAAATTCAAAATTGAATCCAATTGGTCTTGTTGGAAAGAAGACTTAAAGATGTCTGTATCTTTTGAAGTTTTCCTTCAAATTTGGATGTAAGCATCGAATATTGACCCTCAAAATAAATCCTCTATTTTGGCAAGGCATTAGATTTCCTTCCACAAATTAGAGCATTAAAATTTGATTCTTGATGGTCCTTAAGTAAATCTAAGCTAATTAAAATCTTAACTTTAAATGACACATTTTTTAAAAAATTGAGCCTTTAAATTCCTTCAATTCTCTTGATCTTGTCATCCAAAGTTGTGCCTTCTTTTAGCTACTAAAACTCAAATTCAAAGATAGCAAAGCCTCTACTGCAAGAATTAACATTCTTATCACGTTCCAACTCTAATATAATCAATTTTTAGTTTTTAAAAAATTAGAATTTATTAATTTTAACAAAACAAATATTATTATTTTTCAACTTATAATCAATGAAGAAGAATCCTCTAAAATTAAGCTATTAAACTATAAAGGTAATATACCACCATTTACTAAATTTAATGGTTTTTTCTTGTCAAAACTTTGAATTCTAATATTATTATGTTTAAAAAACCACATAAAAAAATTATATATTTTTCTAAATTTTCAAGAACTAATTTTATAAAGTAGAAGAGAAAACTAAAAAAATACCAAAGCCACTTACAAAACCTAGTAAAAAATTGGCATGGCTTTGTTCATCAATAAAAAAAGAAGATGTTCTCACCAAATGAGATCATGAAATCTTTTATACTCTTATCATAAGATCTATAGATGGTAGCTACATGTCTACCCTTGTCATGGACATACATAAGTATTCAAGTAAATACTTATATGATTAAGTAAGAATAGATAAAAGTAGATAAAAGTAGGTTAATTTCATAAGACCTTTTAGAAATGCTTCTTAAAAGCTTCAGAGATATTGCTTGACTTCTCGTGTGTTTGTAGTTGATATGTAGATTAGAAACTTGGTCAACAAGTTAACCACGTATTGATAGCTTGTGGAACAACCTCACTATATGGCGTACATATAGAAAACTTACCTTGCAAGTTAAGAAATGTATCTTACAAAGTCAATACGTTTTGGAGGTCCTATAAGACATTGTCACATAGCTTCTAGTTAAGAATATATATGGAGGCAAGAGTGACCCCTTCTTCACTCTAGTCAATGCATTTCTAGTTCTTAGTCTAATTTCAAGACTTTTTTGTCTCTTTGTTTTTGGCAATAACTATTCTAATTTAATATTACAATATCTTTTGAGTGACTTTCTAATTCTCTTCAGTGACATAAGAGTGTATTGGAGATTTTCTTTCTTTAAGATTCATGTTCTTGACAATTTGACAAGAGTGTTAATATATTGTTTCTATCTTGTTTAAGAAGTGAGTGGATTACCTCACTTCTATTGTTGTATTTTAAATGTTGTAGATCATCCACCTTTAAACAAAAAATCTTGTTTTCTAATACTGATCTTTTTTTTAAAGAAAGTGGATTATCTCTCTTTGTGGAAAATTTTATTAGAGGTTGTTGTTATGGACATATATATTTATTCCAATAATTACTTATATGATTTGATAGAAATAGATAAATATAGATTAATTTCATAAAGTCTTCTAGAGAACCTTTCTAAAAGCTTTATAGATATAGTTTTGACTTTAGATGTGTTTGTAGGTTAGAAACTTCGCCAACAAATTAGCCACGTGTTGGTAGCTTGTAGAACAAGTTAACTCGATCTAAGAGCTTATAGAACAAGTTAACTCCATCTAATAGCTTGTGAAATAAGCTAACTATGTAGCACATATATAAATAACTTGTCTAAAAACTTAAGAAATATAGCTAGCAAAGTCAACACATGTTAGAGGTCTAATAGAATATTGTCATGTTGTTCCTAGTTAGAAAATATATATGGAGGCAAGAATGAAGCCTTCTTCACTCTTGTCAACACCTTGCTAGTCTTTAGTCTTATTTCAAGACTTTCTAGTCTTCTTATTTTTTGGCAATAGCCATTCTAGTTTAATATTATATCACCTTTTGGATGACTTTTTAAGTTCTCTTCAATGACACAAGAGGATATTGAAGATTTTCTTTCTTTGAAATTCATATCCTTCATAGTTGCAGATTACTTTCCTCTAATTTAACTTTCTAAATTTGTTTGAATTCTCTATGAAAAGAAATATTATGGATGCTACTCTTAACAAAAGTGTGAATAGATTTGCAACTATTGCAGATCTTCATGAGCTTAGAAATACTCTAAGAATAGAAATCTCACGTATTTCTAATATAAATTATAGAGGTACTATGCCTATGCCTATGCCTATACCTATGGAAGAAGTTCAGAGTCTACGACAAAAAGTTATGCAGTTGAAAGAAGCAAGTAGATCAATCTCACAACCAAATTGAGGGATTTTTTTTTATTAATATATTGATAATAAGGATTAGTATGTTTGAGAAGTTTGATGGAATAAGATCAAAATTTTAAAGATTTTTACAATAAGTCAAGCTCTATCTAAGGTTGCATCCTTTCCAATATCCCAATGGATTTACTCAAGTCGGATTCTTAGGCTTTTTTCTATCAGAAAATACTCTTTCTTGGTTTTGTTATGGACATATACATTTATTTCAATAGTTACTTATTTGATTAGGTAGAAGTAAATAAATATAGATAAATTT